CAAATGCTACACCTGATTGTCCAAGCATCACATTTGAAAGAGAATGAAACTCTTCTGATAAGAGTTCTCCATCGCTGGAGAGATGATACTACTTCAGAAAAGGTTGGGTCCCATTAAAATAGATTGAAGTATTCAGCTAGCACTTAATTTTCATCATTGGTATCCACCATTATCTATATGCAGCATGGAAGATACAGACTCTGGCATCTCACAGTCTCTACCATTGCACAGTTCAGAGACGGCGTTTCAATGGGAGAGAGAGAGCTTACACATCAGCTTTGCTCAGATGTTCCAGGGCAGAGAGCCCCTTAGGGAAGTGGTTCTCAACCACGTTCATGCCCATCTCTAGAGATGTTTATTCCTTTGGTCTGGGAGCCTAGCATTAGATGTTTTATTGGGGTACTGAAGATTAAACCCAGAGTTTTGTGCCTGGTAAGCATGCAATCTGCCATTAAGTTACACCCCTATTCCTAGCACCAATGTAATTTTAATAAAGCATCTCAAAGAAGTAGAGGTGTGTCTCAAGTATTAGATACCAGCTTTGAATGAAAGAGCCAAGCACGAGTGTAAGGCCCTGAGCTCAAGCCCTAGTACATATGTGTGACATATGTGTATGTGTGTGTGTATGTGTATGTGTGCAACTCCAACAAGATACTCAGGATAGCATCATTATGAGAGAGATCCTCTTGAGACTGTACCTGCTGGAGTATCTTTTTACACACTCATCTGCCCAGACCAAGAGCAATGTCTTCCTACTTATATATATAGCTCTAATTCTGCTTTGGCGCCTTAAATATGGAAATGCAAAAATTGTATGTGTGTTTGCAATGACCTAACAGTTGACCTCAAATTTCCTAATTTGCATCTAAGGACAAGCTGCTAACAGTGAGAGAAGAATGCAGAACACCACCCACTGCCCTGCTGCTTCAGCCAAAAACCACTGCTCAGATGATTCCTTGGCAGTGGTCAACCCTTGCATCTTTGATTCTGAATGGATTAGCTCAAAACTCCAACTCAAAATGTCAGGACAGTTTAGAAAAGAGCCATTAAGCATAATCGCGGATCAACAACCCTCGATTATCCTGCTATTGAAAACAAAGGACAAACAACAACAAAATATACCACTGAGCTGGTGGGAACTTTGCCCACAGAGTACGGCAGTTACAACTACAACCACAATTTCATGGCACCCCTCAAAACAGCCACACAAAAGGATGAAGAGGGCTTACAGGAAGAAGAGCAAATTTAGAGGTAACTGAGGTCTATGACTGGCATCTGGGCTTTGGAGGTTGCTTAACAGATGCCAGCTGACACTGCTCTAGATCCCGGGCTCCGGTCCTGATGCAGGCAGTGACTCAGATAGAAAACTCCCAGATACTTGTCATATCTAATCTAAAAGAAAGGCACTGAACATTTTTAACCCAACAGCACATAATTGTAATGAAATGATTCTGGCCAAGAGGGCCCATTTGTAATAATGAATTCAAATCAGATTCATAGAAGCTATAATTCAACCATAGTGAATAGCACCTTCATTTTCCATATCGTCTCCCTTCCAAAAAGGCAAAATAACTCAATATTCAAATAATTGCTCTTACTTTTCAAGTAGCCCTCTGAAGTAGTCACAGGGCTGATAATATTAACTCACTTATACAAAGCAGGTTTCCTTCCACATCTGAAATCTCCGTGGTATCTCCAGCATACCACTTTCAATTGTCCCCCACAACAATGAAAGGCTTGTCACAATAGAAAGGACGCCATTTTCCCCTAAGCTATGTCATTTTTCACTGGAAAATCCGGAGGTGGACTGAGGCTTGTTCACCATTGCTCTGCTCCTTTTCTAACGTCATGCAACATTTAGATACAGAATGGTAATAAATAAGATCTCTAGCGGGTACAACTGAAAATGATTTCTGTGGCTAATAGACATGGATATTATTAGTTCCATTTGGAAAACTAACTTCCCAAGGAATGACTTCCCAGTGAACCCTATCAAGAAGACACTTAAGTGTGACTAGACATAAGAATTACAAGCTTGCAAATGTGGATCACTGTTTTAAAGTATTTGCCTCATATGCGTGAGGCATTGGGTTCAATCCCAAGTACCACATAAATAAAAAAATTGATCAAATACTAAGATTTTCAAAGCAAAAAAGAGACATAGTACATTTATCTGTGGTCAAGGTCATTGTCATGGATTTCTAGCAAGTGCAAACAGACTGTCCCTCAGACTACTGAGGAACTAGATGCATTGGAAACAAAAGGCAAGAGTCTAAGACCCATAGAAATTGGCAGGGCTGCTCTCTTATTTTTCTAGGAAACATTGTGATCACACTGAACTCAAAACTTCTTAGAAATCAGGGAATGGTATGAATTTAAATGATGAAAGGAAGGAAGCCATTAGTATTCAAGAAAATCAAAATGGGGCATTGTATAAAAATACAGGCAGAAACCTGACACCAGTGGCTCATGCCTGTAATCCTTGCTACTCAGGAGGCTGAGTCTGAGGATCATAGTTTGAAGCCAGCTGGAGCAGGAAAGTTCATGAAACTCAACAAAAAGTTAGAAGTGGAGCTCTGGATCCAGTGGTATATTACCACCTTTAAGGGTAAATCTATGTGACAGAAACCAAGCCTCAGTACTAGCACAAAATTAAATAAGTAATAATAAAGAAGCCAGGTGCAGGAGCTCATGCTTATAATCCCAGCTACTCAGATGTCAGAGATCAGGAAGCTTTGAGGGCAGCCTTGGCAATTGAACTCATCTCAACAAACAAAGCAGGTATAGCTAGCTAGTGGCCAGTAATTACTGGCTAGCTAGCTAGTAATTCCAACTATGATAGGAATATCACATACTGAGCCTTTTGGGGGAAAAACCATGAAACTTATATGAAAAATCACTAAAGCACAAAAGGGATAGAAGCATGGTTCAAGTGGCAGAACATTTGCCTAGCAGATGCAAGGTCCCAGGTTCAAGCCCTAGTTCTACCTCCAAAAATCAAAAGTAATAAATATGCACAAGGCAGCATTTAGAGGACCTTAGAAAATTAGCATGTGGACAATGTTCTTGATTTCTCTGTTTGAGCGATAAAAATAAAGAAGAGAAAGAAGAGAAGCAAAACCAACTATAGAATATGTGCCGACTTAAAAACTTTAAAAAAAATTAAAGCATAAAACCAATTACTCAGGTAACAGCATTTATACTTGAATATAAGTTGTTAGGGATTTTTTTCCCACAAAGCATGAGAAGCAAGTATTCAGCTTTTTCCTTTTTTTAAAAAATTCACATTCTCATTACCAAGCCCAGCTGCTAAACATTACAATTTGAAGATCATGAAAACAGGCCAGCAGCTAATAAAAAAATAAAAAAATAAAAAAGTAGATGAAAGCGCGCTCTCTACTGGTTGCATGCACTTACTGCATCCCAGAAAGGAGAAAACTGGAGGTTCTGGTGTAATTCTGAGAGGACTAAAGACTTTAGAAAGTTCAGAACTGAGCTAATCATACTCATTGCTGGACCTCTTTGTCTCCATGGGAAGACCAAAGGTGGGGAAGTTTTTGATCCACTTCACACTACTATTGCTTGACCTTTGCTCTGGCTCCTAGGATCTTGGAACTAAAGGGTCTTCTACAAATGTGCAGCACACAGGGCTCAGGAAACATAACTCAGGAGCCTTCTTTGACAAATGAAGTAGGGATATCACATTCTCATTTAGGACAAGCTAAGGTGTGCCCACAGGGCAGGAAAACTTGTCCCTTATAGTATCAGTGAGGCTCTATTCCTCTCTTCTCCATCTTTAGTTACCAGCAGACTGGCCTCTGAGATCTGTTCTATAGCTCAAAACACGTTATTCAGCTAAAAACCCAAAGTAGCACTAATCCAAACTAAACTCTTGCATTAAGACAGAATAACCTGGGTCTCCAAGGCTCTCCTTCCTTCCCCAGGAAGAAACTTGCTCCTCCTTTGCAGGCAGGCCAAGAGGAGAGCAGGAAGGAACTCCCCCACCCCTTCATTCTCTCCTTGCAAAAGCCAGGCACACTACACTGGCTGCAGAATCTGGGTCAGAATGTTTTATTTTCACCATCACCATCAAAGTCATAGGCAGGGCAAATGCATTCACCCTGTGTACATTGTGAGACATAGTTAAGCTGGGACGTCCCTGAATCCGTCTCCTAGGACCAGAACTGCCTCATTAAAGGGATAAAAGATGATATCTGCTGAGCTGGTGGAAAGTGGTGGCTGCATTTTTATTAAAGTCTCCACTGCAGCAGGCCCCGTCCCCAAAGGTTCATATTCCAAGAATCTCCACCCCTCTGCCTAGAGCATGGAAGTGATTCTCTGTAACTCATTAAGCTAAAACAAAAAGCTTCCCTATTGTGCTTCTCACACAGCAATGATGTTGGTGCATAAAAGCTACACGTTTCTCTGCATGGCCCAAGATTGCAAAATCAAAACAGCTCTCACATTTACAAGAGAGGCCCCCAGGCATACCACCCAGGGTTGGCATGAGTGGTTCTGTCTTCCGCAGCCTCCTATCCGGCCTGGCAATGGGTGAACGCAGAGTTTGAGAAAGCCTCTATTTCATGGCACCCTTTCGGACCTGCGAGAGACCCAAGGAAGGGTCTTAGGCTAGCCATCCCTGTGTACTTAAACACAGTACCTCAAGTACTCCCCTCAGTGTCCAGAAGTCAGTCCAGCTGTGCCAAGACTCACAAACACCTAAAGTCCCAAGGGCTGAATTCAGGGCTCTCTGGTAAGATTATCCACCAAAAACAAAACAAAACAACAACAACAAGTGAGAGCAAATAACAACCCGTCCAGGCAAAAGGGGAACAAGTCACCTCACCAAGCCAGTGGCCACCACTTGGGCCTACAGCAGACCCTCCCCTCCTCTGGGACGCCCTAGCCCCTCCAGAGACTTCTGGTCTCCCTGCCATCACCGCTGGCCCCAGAGAAGGCACCCGAGGGACGCGGCCCCCGGTTGAAGCCATGCTCCCTACCTGAGGGTGGCGCTCTCCCCCTGCCGGACCGTCACGTTGTCCATCGCTTTGGGGAAGGTGGCATCTCCGCTGCGCACGGGCACTCCTGTGGGTACAAGGAACAGCAGCCTGAGAGACACGACCACGAGGCACTTCCAGGGCAGGAACAGGTACCCACAGACCCCCATCCTCGACGGCCACAACTTCCCAGAACTCCGGGCCGAGGCACGATGCGGGTGCCCCCCGCCCCCTGTCCCGCACACCAACCACCAGCCAGAAATGGGGGTGGGGGGGGGTGGTGTGTTGGAGGGGTGGGGGAGAGAGAGGACACCGAGACAGAGCAGCCAGGAGCAGCCAGGGAGAAGGAGAAGCCGAGTCTCCGGAGTCTAATAATTCTTCCTCAGTTCCTGCCTCAGCCTTCCAGCCCAGCAGAACCAGATGCCCCCCTCCTGCATCCAAAAAGAGCTTTCTCGATGCTCCCCCCTCCTGGGGGAGGGGGGGAAGGGAGGGAGGGAGGGAGGCAGCCCGGGAAGGAAAGGAGGAGATGGAAGGTGCCGGGATGAAGGTCACGGATTGCGCGTTCTCCGCCTGTGTCTCTTCGAGATGCTACTTTAAGATTCAGTTGGGCAGCTTCGGCGGAGATCTGGCATCAAAAGTTTATAACCCAAAGAGGAAGGCAAGTGTCTCTGACATGCAGGAGATGCCATCAAAGCCTCCTGCTTCCAGGAGAGGAGAGGTTTTATTAGCACACACATATGTATAGGTTGTATTTATAAACCGGTCCCGCGTCCCTCCTCCCCCAAGGCGATCAGAACTTCCCAGCCCGAGGCAGCCCGCCGCGGGAAGGATGCAGCCGAGGCGCTCCGTGGTGGGGGTGATGTCCTCCCCCGCGGTCCGATGGGTGATCGCCGCCAGCCCCCGCCGAGGGCCGCGCGGCGCTGGCTCCGGGCGCACGGGGGAGCTGCGCGGACCGCGGCCCCCGCCTCCGCCGGGGACGCGGCACGGGACGCGGGGGCGCGCGGCCGCCCCGCTCAGCGGCCGCCCCCGGCCTCGGCGCCGCCTTCCACCCGGGAGCAGCCCCGAAGCGCGCGGACCCCGACCGCCGCCCGGGTTGTCATGGCAGCAGCTCCATCCCTGACCGCCACTTTCTCCCCGCGCAGATGCCGAGCGCGAGCGGGCGGCGGGTGGGCAGCGCGGAAGGCGCGCTCATCCCAGCCGGGTGTGCGGGGACCCCCCCTTAATCCCTGCCGCACCGCGCCCACCGCGGCTGGGGAATCCCTGCAGAGGTGGGCCTGGCCCCCCGCACCTCACCCCGGGGCTCCACTCGCCCCCTTGATACACAAGCAAGCTGAGAAAATGCTACTGCGCCCCTCTAGCTGGCTCCCCCGGTACCGGGTGGGGGTTGGGGAGTGGGGAGGAGGAGGAAGGAGAGGGGGGAGAGGGAGTTGGTTCAGGGAAAGCAGCAAATTGAAAACTGACATTGGCACCTCGCCACGGACGCCTCCACGCAGAAGTTGACAACTCCACCCATCCCCCTGCTCCGAAGAACTGAAGTACATTTCACGTGCCCAGGTGATTACACCAGTCTGAGTACCTGCGCTCTCCACCTAGCCAAGCTTGGGCTGGTCCCAGGGCACAGCCAGGCTTCCTGGGCCTGTGCAAAAGAAAGATGGGAAAAGCTTGTTGCTCTGATGACACGCCAAGAAGCCCTTAGGACCCCTCCACTCCATATCCTGTCTCCCAAGCGGCAACACAATATGCCAAAGAATCCTCCATTATCCATGCATCTTATTTGTGATCAAAATATAAATGAAAGCAAGAGCTGGGAAAACCTGCAGGCTTGAAAGTAACAGAGCTGGGTTTCATTGGAGCCATCCATGACTTCATGGTCGCGACAGTGTCTGGAAGGGACCTGGGGATGGGTTCTCTGAAGACAGTCTTTCCTTATCTTTGGGCTCAGCTCCATCTCTTTCCCCTCTGAACCCCAACGCACCCGCTCTCCTTGGGACTGTCATTCTGTTTTCTGCTTTGCCTGGCAGAAGCCTCCTTCTCTGCGGTGGATCTTACTCTTGTATCCTAATTTAATGGTTGCTGTGTGCATCTGCTCTACTGTATTTTTCCCCCCTCAAAGCCTTTTGTTAAATTAGACTGGGCTAGGCACAATTGGTGAAATAAAATGTAATTCATAAGCCTTAAGCCTTTAGCGTTTATTACTTTAGTGAAGGATACAAAGCATACTACCTGCTCTCAGTTCTGAGCGACTGAGCACAAACACTGCCCCAGTCCCCCTGTGAAGTAGTTAGTTCACATAGATTATTGGGGTTTTTTTTTAGGTTTAAAAGTTTTAATTAGAACATCTTACTTCAGAAAAGAGAGAATAGTTATCACTCATCACATCAGTTACAATGAAAACTAGAGAGTATTAGATTCCTTTCAGAGAACAGAATTGAATCAGGATTGAGAGATAAAACTCATCTCCTGGGTGAACTGGGCCACAAGGCTGAGGGGGTCAGGGGACAGAAGAGGAAGGGGGAGGGGGGAAGGGGACAGGACCAGAGGACAGCATGGAGAGGAGACAGGAGAGGGAGGAGAGGATAAGTGGAAGAAACGGGCGGGCGGGGAGGTGGAGAAGAGAGGAGTGAAAAGTAGAAAGGACTGGAAAGGGAGAGTGGATGGGACAGGAGAGGGGCAGGAGGGTGTAGGGGAAGAGGAAGAGAGAACTGGCCAGCTGGGAGGGGAGAGGCCGCTACAGGCTCTGGGAGCAGACCTACCACCTAATTGGAAGGACACAAATCTTTTCTCAAGACTTAGGTGTCCCTGGGTAAAATACGAATTTGAAATCGCCTAAAGATGAAAGGTGATTATTAATAAGCTTCCATTTGGGGGTGACATTGTTCAAGATGCATTGTCCTCATAAAATGACATACTGAATTGAAACTCTTCTGTATAACTACTTGAAAATAATCAATGTTCTAATGTGAAAACAAAGATAAATTAATAAAGGTTTTTTTTTAACCTCGAGAGGATGGCTATTCTGAAGTTCAGAATCCCACAGAAAGTTCCAAGTTTACCTAATAAAATGGCTATCCAGTAATAAAAGCAACTTCAAACTGTGTTGTTCAGGAATGGGGAAAAACTTACAGCTTGTGTTTATTTTACCCAGCTGCTCTGTGTGTGTGTGTGTGTGTGTGTGTGTGTGTGTGTGTATCTGTGTAAGGAGGAACTATGAAATAGAAAGCTTGCGTTTGGTGCAGTGCCTGTTGATGTAACTGAGACACACGGGTCTCATGGAGGACAGCGATTGAGGAGACATTTTACTCAGCCAGATGAAGTTGATTGCCTTGTGGCCTCACGATATGAATCAGTACGCAACTAGAAATGTGTCATGAGAATAGAGTGGTTAAGAAAGATTGGCTTCCGCTTTTTAGTCTAAGGAAGTCACAAGAAATAAGAGTTCCATGCTCAAGCACGATGCTGTAGACCAAATCTTGTAGAAAACCCAGAGTAGTTCTCAGAGTAGCCGGTGGCCCAATCAGCGTAAGCTATCCATGAGATTCTAAACAGAGGCAAATACGGGATAAGTGTCTTTCCCAATCACCCATTGCCCTGAGATCAGAATTCGGGTCAGCTGAATTTTAACGTATCTCTCTTTTCTGTCACAGCCCACATCATATTCTTTCCAGTGTACAGTACATCTGCCTAGGCTAACTGCAAGAACCTGTGTTTCCATGAATTAAAATGCCTGGCTTCAAATGCTAGCATTGTAGCTTACAAGCTCTGTTATCCTTGGCAAATTACTTACCCTCTCAATTATGTCTCTTAGCCTGTAAGCGGTGTTAATAAGAGATTATTCATAGTTGGGCATAGAGGCACATGCCTGTAGTCACAGCTGCTTAACTACTCAAGAGACTAAGTCACCAGAACCCAAGAATTTGAGACTAGCCCAAGAAACACCACAGAATGTCATCTCCAAACTCCCTTCCCAGAATTGCTCTGCGTGTCATAGCACAAGCAGAGGCTCCTGCCACAGTGCCTAGTACCATAACAGCCATCAACGATGCACAACATTAAGTTCCTATCCTCTATTGTTATAGTCGAAATAATGAAATCAACAAAACCAAAACGTGTACACAGAATAACCAAATGGGAAAACAACATCTTAAGAAACAATGTAAGCAAGTCAACCGAAAACCATAGGCACACAATATTCGCATTGTGAAAAGATATCCATGTGGCTCTGTAATGCTTAAGAGAGCAAGCTACTAAGAGCTATAGAGTTCAGTTGCTATCAGAGTGTATTATCTTTTCGTCTCCTTCCAAGTTCTGAATTCATCCTGTATATAACTGACTCTCTCCTTTGAGATCGTAAAGCTCTGAGAACAGAATGCTTGCTCATCTTGATTCCTCAGCTACAATCTAGAGACTGCTCGAACAACTTGGCAAATGTTTGTTGCCTGGGGCATCTTATCTCCGTTCTCCATAGGCTCCAGAGAGCCAGTCCATTCATTAGTTGTGATCTAGAGTGATAGAAGTAACAAGATAGATGCATTGATAGATGGATAGATAGAGGTAGAGAAATACAGAGAAGATTTCCTAGGGGAATAGGCCCATACCATTTATAAGGCTAACACATGCCTTTCACAAGCTAGAAATCCTTGGAGACTGGTAGCATGGCTAAGTCCAAGTTCAAAGCCAATGATGAAAGTCTAGATATGAGGGGGAGGCCTGAGGACCCAGAAGGCTGCTGCTTTAAGTCCTAGGGTCTAAAGTTCAGACAACCTGAAGTGTTGATATACAAAGAGAAGATGGGTATATTTATCACTATGAGATGAGTGACAAAAGCTCCTTTCCTTTGCTTTTGTTCAGTGGGTTCCCAGCCTACTGGGTAGTACCCAACCACAATGAGGATAGATGATCTTCCCCCACTGCATCCAAAGAGATTCACACATTAATCCTCTTTGGAGGAAGACATACTCTAAAATAGTACTTTTTACTAGGTTTCTTGCATTCCTTAATCCAGTTAAATTGACAGTAAAATTAAACATCAAGTTTGGTGAAGCTGACGACAGAGACCCAATAATTTCCACACTAAAGACTCCTGGTAAGACTCCCCTTCACTGACTGCTACCCAAATACTTCAACCTTAAAGGACCATAGGCATCAAATGCATTAAAATGTCTCCCTACAG